ATGAGCGGTCGGGGGTCAGGTGCCTTATCTGGGATGGAATGTTGCACTGCCTAGACAGACAGGTCTCAGATAGCACGGAAAGAGAGAAGGTCTCACACACAGGATATGGACTTTGAGTCTGCATACTCTAAAGGAATAGTTGAACACTTCCCCCCTGCTTCCAGTCTTACCAAGTTCACCTACAACTGTCTGCTAACAGTTATGCAATTGGTCTTGTTTTAATCAAGGAAAGATCATACATTTATGTATTTTAAAAACTGTGTAACAAGTCGTTGAAATAGAAAAGACTTTGACTTTCAACTATACGTTTATAAATATGTACGCGTAGATTCAATTTTAATCCAAACAGAGCCTGCAAGAACATTTATGTGAACTGTGAAGCTATTCAGCACATTCTATACACACACACACACACACACACACACACACACACACACACACACACACACACAGGAGACACTGTGACCTTGTATCTGTTTGTAGAGCTGTGAGCTCAGCGGCGGCTCACTGTCAGGCCTGAAAAACATATCAATGTATTCTTCCAATTCTTTCAAACGCACTTGCGCATATCACTCTTGGTTCACTTTAACAGACTCATAGCCCTGATTTACAATATCTGGTATTTGTGTGTGCATGTGCGCATGTGTTTGGGTTCACAGAGAACAGTTGGTTCCTGTGTTCAACATGGAATGAGGTATGAGCAAGTGAAAAGCCTTCATTGTGAAAAGAGAGGGAAAAAGAAGAAAGACGTATTAATAGATGAGTTGGACCTGGCGTTTTGGAACAGGACAGAAATCTGTAGGCAAACAGAGATCAGATCTCGGATCTTAACCACTAAATAATTCTGGCCACAAGAGCCAGCATTTTAGCAGAAGATGCTATTTGTTAGCACATATAATTAAATCCATCTCCCTTGTCTAATAACGATTTTTCAGGAAAGATTTCAGGGCTCAAAACAAGCACCCTCGAGATCTGTGGATGAATGGTTGTTGTGCAGAGTGGAGGAGAAAATGTCTTTGTCAATGAGGGTTTTCCAGCAGAGGAAATTGCTTTGTGAATTTTAGGAAAAACACAAATTACCCCAATTGTGTTCTAATTTGGACGATGACGGCTCTAGCGCTCAAGGGCAGGAAATGAGGGAGGTGGTTAGGACTGTCACTCATTCTGTATCTCTCTCTCGCTATTCCACTTCCCACATGCAATGTTAATGCAATGGATCCTGCAATTTCCATGTCTATGTGAAAGTTGGATTTGCCACCTCATGATTTGATACCGTTTTATAAGAAGCTCTAGTGAGAAAATGACCCTGTAAAGTGCTCAAAAGGTTACAATAACATCATATGCATGTCAGTTTAAGTGAGTGAGCCAATCAAAGGAGCACAAAGTTTGATTATTTTTGGCCCATGAAATACAAGATTGCATTTCATTCACACTGAACTCAAATTGTAATTGTGTGAAGTCACACCTGGGTGAGGAGCACACATGTGGAAACTGTGAACATGACAGGAGTTGATTGCCTCCTGCATAAAAAGGCTCTCATAATTCATCTATTTTACTTCCAATAAAGGTATAACATTGAGATTTACATAATAGCACATGTAAATTAGAACGACAAGAAGATAGAGTAAGCTATGGTTGATGAAATAGCAAGGAAAGGCAGGACCTTACCCATCTCGCACATCTGCCGCTCAGTGGCTTATTCCACACCTTTGTAAATGGTTTATTGGGCTTCCATGATGACTGTTTTACCACACACAGCCCACCCAGTCACAAACACAAGCACACAATACAAACATACCGTATAACAGATGATGTCAATACAAAGACAGGATGTTGGTTTGTCAGGCAGGTGTCGGATGTAAAGATGGTGTCCTGCATACAAATCCAACTGCCGACCAATGGTAACGTCTGACCAGCAGTGCTTTATTCCTCCTTTTGTATGAGAAGTTTGAAGTATTACAGTCGATTTCACATGTGACAATACTTTTCATCCTGACTATGCCTAAACTTCATTCTGGTCACTAAGTCTCTAAGGCTGTGACATTGTATAGACTAAATAAAATATCATCTAATAAATGTCACCCTGATTTTGTGACATAATGTAATTGGGTAGAATAAGCATCAATAGTAGGATTAGTATTTAGCGCTAATGATGAACATTGCTCTATGGCTGCATGTCATCAGCAGCTTTGTGCAAGTGAGAAAAGACGTCTTGAAAGCATATTCTTTCACCTCTTGAGTGACACTGCTTCACATAAAGGTGCCTACAAGCAGTTTGCACAAGATACTGGGAAGAGTTACATTTGCTTTTATTATTATTTATTATTTTACATTGTGTTGTTTGTATAAATACATCTCAAATATTATCCGAAGATAGCTATATGTATGTTTTTCTTGAGGACTGATGAGCTTACCAGGGTCAGTGAATGAAAATATTGTTTATTTTAAATCATTGTTTTCATCATTCAAACCATTTATATGTTATGTATAAACAGTCTCAACCATATCATTGGATGGAAAATGCAAGACTATCTCTTACTGTTCATGGATTTTGTGATGGCAGTTAAAATCCCCTTTAAGCTATTGAACCTAATGACCTGTTTGGAAGTAAATCAACAAGTTCTAGTCACTGGCTGAAAATGTAGCCTTGTGTGTTTGTGGGTGTGTGTGTGTGGTCTTGCATTCATTTGCATTCATTTGTTGAGCTATAACGTTTGTGATGAGGCCATTTGCAGCATTCTGAGGCAAAACACCCCCTGAGTCTTCCTGAATGTCTTCTACCTCAGCTTTTGCATATTTTAGTTTTTTTCTCAGCACTCACCTTATGGGGGGAGTAAACTGTAAACAATTCTCGGTGAACCTGCTGTTTCTCGGAGGAGCTGATCTGTGGAGTAACGTGACTGACAGTGTTTTAGCTGTGTCGTTGAGTTCTGTACGTGTACATAAATGTGTGTCTGCTGCACTGTACCATTCAGGCTGCTGTTGAGCTTTTGAAGCAATTAATAGAAATCCTCAAGTGTGTTCATCTTGACTCAATAGGCTATCTTTCAAGCAAGCAAACACACACACACACAAAGGACCAGTGCCAGGTCCAGTCCAGTGCCAGTGTGTGTGCGCTGGCAGTGCCAAGTGTGTCTTGCGGGCTGTTGTGTGGAGTGGGATTATGTTAATTTGTCCTTGGTGAAGGCACTCTCACCAACGCCTGCACTCAGGAGAGACAGACAGAGAGAGAGGGAAAGGAGTTGAGAAAACGAGTGGGAGAGAGCTGCAGTGGTAATAAGCAAGGGAAGAACAAAACGAACAGCAGAGAGATAGAAAAATAGGAAAGGCCTTAGGCGGATGGAAAGAAGTGGAGATGGAAGGAGAAGAGTGGAGTTTGGGATAATGAGGAAGAGAGAGAAAGACTGGGGAGGTTTAATCAGGTGGGTGAAGAAAATGAGCAAGAGAGGTAGTGGAGAAAGGAAGCATGATGAATGTGGGAGCATAATTGAAAAGGAATACATTTTATAGAGAAAGGATTGCTCTCCCACCTCTCACTGCGATGCCACTCTTTTATAGTGAAAGTAGAGATACAAAGCAAAACTATAGAGTAGGGGGAGACATAGTGAATTGAGATCCATGGCCAAGGGTTTTGTGTAACATGGTTTAACCCCTCATACTGTACACCCCTGAACATATTTAAACCAGTAGATCCCAGCTTTGGAAACAAAGACCCTGAATATATTCACATTACCCTAAGTTTATTTTTCAATGGATATAGTGCAATGTTGTCAATGCACAGTATTATTAAACCCTGCACAACCAACTCTGCAATCATGTCAAATTCTCTCTTCTCAAACTTCCCGTTTTTTCTGTCCTTCAGGCCTCGTGAGTTCTAGTGACAAAAGCACTGCAGTGGTTGGACTGACTGTGTGTCTGATCTTTTACAAAAAAAAGTCCTTACCAAGTCGTGTTAATTTCGCATGCTTGTGTTCAGCAGAAGCATGTGTGGAAAGTGCCTCAGAGAATTGAGCTCCCATTCCTATTTGATTAGAAACAGTCTGAGTCGCTTGTTATTTGTTTGCACCTCAGTTGGATGTGTTTATCTGCTATCAGCACAGACAAGACATCCTATGGGCACTGGTGTGTGTGAGCGTGTGTGAAGTGCTTCCAAAGCTGAAGCTGCGATAAGTTAGGAATTCAGGATTGGGAGGAGGCCAAGCGAGAGCGAGCGTGGAATTGTGTAACTTTGGGATACTTGCAGATTTAAGCATTTGTGAAACGGCTCTTCCTCTGGAGTTTACCATAATGTAAACTAGGAGACCTCCTTTGTGTGTGTGTTTGTGTGCGTGCAGGCATGTGTCTGCAGGCGTGGGTGTGTGCGTGTGGCTATTAGAGCCCTCACTGGTTGTTCTTTGAAACAACAGCACCACCTGCTTGTGACTTTTAGTAACACCAACTTGAGGTGATCCCTACTCAGATATTTCATTTCCTTTTTTCAGTATTCCAGCTGACTCCAGGGTGACACTGAAGCTCTTACTGTAAATTAAAAGCAGGCTGCTGTTATTGATATACTGTCACGTGAGATTTGTACTGTCAGAATGTGCTCAGGGTAACTTCTACAGCTAGTCAATAACATGCCAGTAAACTATATATAGTGGGCGGCTGTGGCTAAGTGGATAGAGTGCTGGACTTCGAATCAGGGGGTAGCAAGTTCAAGTCCCACTGCAGTCAGCATGTCGTTGTGTCCCTGGGCAAGACACTTCACCCCAAATTACTCCTGTGGGGATTGCCCACAGTATTGAGTATGAATGTATGTAAGTCGCTTTGGATAAAAGCGTCTAACAAATGAAATGTAATGTAATATAAGTACCTTGGTTTGACGTGCCATGACAACAAGCATAAGCTTAAGAATCTTTGAGAAAGATAACTACTGTAATCCCTACCACCCTGACCTTATTGTGAAAGGTTATCAAGAAGACCATAAAGAGTAACCTTATCTTGTTAATGTTCTGTTGCAGGCCCAAAAGAATGAGAGGGAGTCGATCAGGCAGAAGTTGGCTCTGGGCAGCTTCTTCGACGATGGGCCGGGCATCTACACCAGCTGCAGCAAGAGCGGCAAACCCAGCCTGTCCTCACGGTAAGACCTCTGACTTATTTCTCAAACATAAACTGTGGCCGGTGGTTTTCAGGTATTTTTTGTGGTCACATCTCTGTGAAGAAGAATGTCCTGACAAAGTTAAGAGCAGTTTTTTAGTGCCAAAGATACATGAATTTCAGCAGCATACAAGAGAAACAAAAACATGGTAGGGTATAGGTCTTAGAATGATTTACTGTGTACCAGTAAAGGAAGAACAGACATGGAGGAAGAGAATGACAGGAAGCAGAGAGGAATTGTGAAGTGTGAGTGAGCCACGTACAGACAGACCATGAAGCTCTCACTTCTCAAAACACACACACACACACACACAAAGACGCTACTACCACCTCCTACACTGTAAGTTACTGGAACTAGATAACTGTAAACACTCCAGTGCTCTTGGTATTCCTGTGATTTGAATCACGTGGATTCCTTAATAGTGCTGTTATGACTGATAGTGGTGGTTAAAGCCACATTGATGAGTACTTGGAAAAAGTAGGATGACAGTCATTTGTGCAATGCTTGGTCTGGGTTACCAACGTTACTGACACACTGTATCAGAGCCCATCTGATTCTGGGTTTTTGAGTGTGGTTGTAAAAATATGTACACACCAAGATATGTACTGAGTGAATTATTGTTAAAAGATAAAGTTCTCATGTTCCAAGACTGAGTCCCCTTTCTCTCCTACTTTCCTGTCTATCTTCAGATATTAATAAAGGCAAAAAGCCCAAAAATGATCTTAATCGAATCTGTGGTATTTCTGTTTGTAGATTATTTCTACTTATCGGATAGCATATTGGCCAATACTACTGCTGATATATGCAATCATTTTGTAGGTTGTTTTGGAGGTTTTTAATGCTGCTACCCCAAACAAAACCTCTCAGGCCCTATTTTAATGAGGACTGATTGGATGCTGTGTAATCAATCACCTCTGTTTGTAATTACTGCATTGAATAAGCAGATTATTGATCCACAGAGGGCTGGATCTACACTTAGTGATATTCTGCTGCTTCGTGGCACAAAAACACCCCCACCGGTCCCAGGCAGATTGGATCAGACCTACCGGAGGCTTCCTGGATCGATCTTTATTGAAGAAAGAGGGGAGATGATTAAAAACAAAAGCCCTCTTTAATTCTATCCTCCGCCAACACTTTGCTCTGGTGGTGAAGGTAGCTTGTGTCTGTTAGGATCTTTTTTCCAATTTTCTTCATTTTCTTCTCTCTTTATCACTACTTCATAGAGTACACAGCTCACTTTGCATACTCTAAATCGTTTATTGAGGCAAAGCACTTTGTTGAACTCATCATAGGTCATTTGTATTGGCTGCTGAGCTGTGAACGTTGCTGTCCGAGTCGATGACTGCAGAATGAGCCCACCGTGACCTGACGTGACTCTTATCTGCATTTATGCTAATATGAACATCTCTCCCTGCAGGCTTCAGAGTGGGATGAACCTACAGATCTGTTTTGTCAACGACAGCGGCAGCGACAAGGACAGCGATGCAGACGACAGCAAGACAGAGACCAGTCTGGACACTCCTCTGTCCCCCATGGTATGCACCGTGTCCATTTGTGCACTTTGAAGCCTACACAGAGTTTTGATAGCATTTATCCAAAATTCAAGATTTCAATGAAATACTTAAATCTTGAAATGACTATGAATTGGGAATTTTGATTTACAGGGCTGACTGTGTCAAAGGGTGAAAGGGTAGAGATCTGATCGTAAGAAAGTGACATTTAGACTGAAGAATAATGAAACAGGGGAGGTATTCATTATGAATCACATGGATAGATTGTGGTTTAGTTGCTCTATGAATGTCTTTGATCATGTTTTCTGGCCCGTTAACCAATTCACAAGCAGCAAATGAGAGGTGAACTGGAATACGCTCACCATGGCCATGGATGACTGCACACATTAACCTCCCACCAGCTTGAGACACATTTAACAGAAAGAGGGGGAGAAGAGGAGAATTATTACCACCCTACATGTTCATCTGCGCTCTCCTCACATCCCATCACTGACGTTCCTGTCAAATCTACATAAGAAAATGCAAAGAATACATCAATATTAATCTTCTGACCTGGCCTTTCTTGTCTTTCCTTTTCTTTCTCATTCCCTTTTCATTGTCTTCTCCATATTTAATTCCACCCTCTCTTCCTCCTCTGTCCTCCCTGCAGTCCAAGCAGAGTTCGTCCTACTCGGACAGGGACACCACAGAGGACGACTCTGAGTCTCTGGAGGACATGGACTTTGTGAGTCGACAGAAGAAGCTGCAAGCGGAGGCAAAGCTGGCCCTGGCTATGGCCAAACCCATGGCCAAGATGCAGGTGGAGGTGGAGAAACAGAACCGCAAGAAATCCCCTGTGGCTGACCTGGTCAGTACCAGATTTGCACTGCTGTTGACCATGAAGTTTCAGATTAACAAGGCAAACTTTTGCCAAAAAATACCTAGTCTTATTTTCTATATGACTTCTGTATTTCCACATATTACACAATTCATTTATGTATATTTATAAAGATAATGTTAGCATGCAAATACTACACACAATATAAAAACTGGGACCATTAAATCTACTGATTTAAATGAATATAATAATAGAATAGGCATAGTTGTTGTTTTCAAGCTTTTGGTTCTACCTGAGCAACTATAATCAGTATTTTCATATTAACAATGGATCAACTGACTACTTACTTGTATGTGAAAGGGGTTTGTTTTAGTGATGAACTAACTTCCAGAGAATTCGCTCTGTCCTTTCCCTCAGCTCTACTGAGATTTATAGCATCTTTCAGCTCATTGTTAAGATTTTACAACCAACAAACTTTATTCTTTCTTATGGTTCTAATCAGTTTTTGGCAAACCACTGTTTTGATCAAAAATCCCAATTAGTGACTAGATGGGGATGAATGTGTGACTTTCACCAGCCAATCCTTTTTGTTCTCTGAGTTGGTAGTATAAAAACAAGGCTTATTGTTTACAAAGAAGGCTTTGAAATTAGCCTCTGAGTAAGTCATACATTCCTATTTTCACCTTAAATAAACTAAGATGGCTATTTGGAACAGAGATCCACCAGATGTGATGTATACAAATACATACGGTATAACTTTTTCTCTTTTTTAATTTTTTATGGTTAAGACATATTATGGTCATCATGTGACATTCAATTTCAAAAGATATCCATTATTTGGTTGATTAGTCAAAGTGGGAATAGATTGGTGGGTTGAGTTTCAGTAACATATGAGTATGAGCCGAACAGGTCACATGTGTATATTTTGATGATATCATAGGAAGCCTCCCCCACCTCCTCGCTTTCTTCCTCTCGGCCCATTTAGAGGAAGGAAGGCGATGACGACACGGCTCATAATTTTTTCAGCCGTTTCTATCTGCCTCACTGCCTCCTCAGGAGCTCACACGCAAATACAGAAGTGCGTTACTTATTCAGAGCAGAGATGGGCAGCTCGGCCGGGGCCATCTATAATTCATACGCCGGAGAGCATTGACTTCAGTGTTTAGGGATATAGCAGTGAGTGCTCTGCAGGCGGAAGACATAGCTGTCACATCTTGACAGTGAATAATAAGATGTATTAAAGACTCAGCCATCTGCCATGGTCTCAGCACTAGAGATCAATTCATCTATAAAAGTTGCATGTGCTAAATGCTTCCCCAGAACACTGATCCTTAACTAAGGGGTACTAAGGGAATTGTGAAGTAGCTAAACTATGTGGGAACAAAATTGAAATGATAAATTATTAAAAGCATATACAAATTCAAATAAGATTACACCTTCAACAAACACTTATTGCTACATAAATTGCATTAAAATGATTTGGGAAGTGACAAATCAAAAATAATAACGTAAAAACAATAGATATATTCAATAAATATTCAGTTAAGAGTCATCCAAATAGTTAGATTCATAATAAGGAATTAGATTAAACATATAGCTATAAGTAATGGTTTTATTGTTTCAATTGTTAGCTTAAATGTAAGGATTGAATGGTAAAATAAATAGCTAAAGTATTGTATAAGTAGTTGAATTTATAATCTATAAGTCATTTATACAGTTGACAAAACTTGCTAAAAATATTGATAAACTTTTGAAATAAAAGTGTATTAAAAGAATTGGATGAACAATAAGAATACTGTGCCCAAAGTAATGCATAAATAGTTTAAATAATAGCTTTAAGTGATGGATAAATGTTCAAAGGGCCGGATAAGACAGTTGTGGTAAACATTGACAACTGAATTGTATGAAAATGTATTGTTACAAACCACTTTTTATTAACTTAACTGATGAAATACTTAAGTTAATCTGATAATATAATTAGTCCCACAGTGGGCACATCTTTAGTGTTACAGCAGACACAGAGTGCAAAAACAAGAGTTATCAATTAGAGAAGGACGAAAAAGATAATTCATAAGTGAACAGCAAAGAGACATGGGGGGATATATCAAACTACAAAAGACCAATCACTCTTGTTGGTTTAGTTCAAAAGTAACTGTCAATGGAAAAATGAAGTGAATTCGGCCCGCTCAATAAGCCTGAATCCAACTGTTAGCCTGTGTACTGGGAGTTTTTTTTTTCCCTAAATTTGTACACACAGAGTCACTGACAAAAAGTAAAGTAATCGTGAGAAGAAAGGGGAAATTATTCAGATTCTACTGTAAAACCGCAATCCTCTCGCTCAACTTCAATCAGAGGTAGGTGCAGTTCCTCAATCTGACAAAGAGTCATCGCTGGAGATTCTGCTGCTTTAAAGATTCTGCTGCTTTAAAGATTCTGCTGCTTTAAAGATTCTGCTGCTTTAAAGATTCTGCTGCTTTAAAGATTCACTCACTGATTTGAGATGGCACGAATCAGTCAGAAGTCAGTAGACTGACCTGTTGAGTCATGAACATCGTCTCTGAGCTCTCCTCCTCAAATTTCCTCTGACATCACAATTATCTCTTTGCCACGTCTCGGTCCACTGCCATGTGTGCGTTGTCCTGTCCCTCGAAACTGAAACTGACACCTTTAGTACAGTTGGTCATAGAGCCAATGTGAAAGTGAAAGAAGGGTGAGACATGACATCAAAAACATGCAAAACCAGAGCGGGCACATTTTCTTACCTACTGTTTGTCAATAATGGATATAAAGTGGGAGGGAAAATGAAAGAATGTAGAATCGGTTGGATGGGCGTGTTGATCGAAGGAGAGTCTGGTAAACAACAGGCAAACTCTGCCAATTTGATGCACACGTCAAATGTTATTCCATGTTGTGACGACACTCCAAAGTTGACTGAGAACATAATCAATTAGTCAAAGTCACTGTTTGGAGTCAATACAATATTAAGCACTACATTAAACAGAAGCCTTTCATTTTCACTCATAAGGAGTAATGTGTTTATTCTCACCGTTTGTTGTTGCTGTACCTTTGTCTTGGATCACACATTTTCAAAGTTCCAGTATAAAGGGAAAGGGAAATCAGATTGTAATTTTTAAAATGAGATATTAATAGAAACTTGCTCCAGTTTCTAATATGAGAAACATCAGCATCACTACTGGCTTCAACTCTACACATTCACTAAGTTCATGTGCTGTTTATTTGTTTAACAAAAAGGACTGTCTTTCTACTTGGAATCCCCCAGCTTAACAGTGTCCCTAAACATTTTAGAATTAGTAAGATTCCTTTTTATTTCATCTGGGGCATTATCAGGAGAAGCCAAGAGACTGGACTTTTTCCAAATGTTCCCAGCTCCAAATCATAAAGCCTATTTGATCATTCATGCCTATGTTTTTTAAGAATTGTTTCTAAGTGGACCAAATCCAAAAAACACAGAACATGATTCAAATCAAACGTTCTACAGTAGTAATATAGATGGCTATGGGTTGATGAGAGGATGACTGGCAGAGGAAAGAGGAAATATGTGGATATAAATGTCAGGATGGCATGGCAGGAAGAGGAAGCAGGGCAGCGATTGCCGGCAGGCAGGAAAACAGGAACAAAGCACAGGAAACAAGCTAGCATTCACACTTTCCTTCAAAATATATTATATCTTGGCTAGAGCATACCACCAAGACTGGAGCTGGGGTTGGTTTACTTAAGAGGTGATGAGCTGAATGCAGGCAGGTTTGCTGGTAGGGTTAGGGTTAGGGGTGAGAGAACAAGTCTTACACACACACACCGAGAGGCAAACAGGGGGCATGAAATACAAAGGAAAACACAAAGGAGGGACAGGGGCACACATTTTGATTATTCTGTTTCAGGTATAGATCAATTGCTTTGTGTAAAATGTCAGAACAGTTGTAAAAGACAACAGTGCCAGTTCCTTGAGAGAAAAATCCAACAAACCTCCCTTTTGAGAATCTGGCACCAGTGAATTTCTGGCAGTTTTTCTTCATACATTATTTAAAAGTTTGATGGATTATCGGAGTTGTTGTTGAATAATTGTCTGTCAACAGATTCTGTCAATACAGCAGACTAATTGTTTTTGGGATTCTTATTTATTCATGTCTATATATTTTACAAGACAAAAGATCCATGAGTTTATGCTCTTTTTGCTGCATGAAATACATAATTCAACACAAATGTCTATAAAGGGAATTGCATAAATATGTGAAACACAAGTCATACAGCAGGAACATGTTTCTTTGTAGATTAACCTTGTCTTAACCTGTGCATAAAGATGTCTAGTGTTTCTTTTTCATGTAACCCTATTTCTTTGTGTGTATTTTTCTGGCAGCTTCCACACATGCCTCACATCAGTGAGTGTCTAATGAAAAGAAGCCTGAAGCCCACCGACTTGAGAGACATGACACTGGGACAGCTCCAGGTTATAGTCAATGACCTGCACTCCCAGATCGAGAGTGAGTTGACCACAAACACACATACAACGAGTTACTACTTTCAATTGCAGATATGACCAAATGGGGAAAAACATGAACATGCATACTGACCCCTACCGTTCTAAGTGGATGTGAAAGTACTTTTAATTATGTTCGACAATTCATAGAATTGTACCAGTTCACAGCTTCCCCTGTGAGTATTTACTGTCACTGCACTGAACTGAGCATTGACCCTGCTACTCAGGGATGAATAATCTCTCAGCTAACATTAACCAGCTCCAAAATTCCCCCCAATGAGTCCAGAGTCATAAGCTGATTTTTACTTACATACAGACTTTCCCTTTAAAATGTCTTTTGTGTGTGCTTCATATTTTCTGGAAAAAGGAGAAACAATAGCTGAAAAACATGTGATGTGAGAACAACCACATTTGTGTGGTCCGAGTGTCAATACTCATTATGGGTTTGATGGCTTTGTGAATCATTTTATCAACACGTAATAAAAGCAGTATGGTAGTGTTTCATGCAGATATATTGTCCATCTATTGATAAGGGTCACAGTATATGTGGTGTTTAAAGTATTTCCATATTGTACATATATGATGTAAATACATTCCTGCTTTGTCATTACGATAAGTCTGTAGCCTGACATGACGTTTATATTCTTCCTCGTGTTATCTGCCCCTGCAGCTCTGAATGAGGAGCTTGTCCAGTTGCTGCTGATTCGGGATGAACTACACATGGAGCAAGATGCCATGCTGGTTGACATAGAGGACCTCACCAGGTGATGAGGCATTTAATGAGGACCTTATTCACTGTGTGAAGCTGACCAAGCAAGGAGGCAGAGAGTTCAAATATAACCCGGTGTGGGCATTTATTAAATCATGGGCACATGATTCACAGCCTCAATATGACTGTTACCCGTGAACACAGTGACCAGCAACAAGGATCTCACACACACACTAACAGGAAAACAGAACCTAAATACACACAGACTAATCAAACCAACAAGACACAGGTGAAGGGGGAGGAGACAACACAGGGCACCAGGTGAACGCAATCACCAGCAACAGACAAGACGGGAGGGGGAACACTTTTCAAACTAAAACACCAACGAAGCTATACAATCCGTAACGGAGGCCGAGATCTATGGCCCCAAAGATCACCTCCGTTACACACTGCATTTACCTTTCTTTCTACTCTTCTGGTATGGCAAGAAACATATTTATTTGAAGATTGGAAAGACATAGTCATAATATATTTTTGCTATTGCCAAGTCTCTTAAAGAAAGGACCAAACCAACTTCAATACTTTTTCTGACTCTCCTATTCTGTGATTCTCAACCTCAAGCCTATTTGTTCCCACTGTTCCTAAGTGTAGAGTTCATACATTTCTTCCCGAAAGACTTCATTATTTCCCCAAAACTGCTTTAAATTGTAGTTTTTAAAACAGTAACTTGCTAACTCACAATGTATAGTTATCAGTATTAAAACAGCTAAATACAAATTTGTTTGTTGTTTGTCAAGACATAATCCAAAATCTAACTCAGAGAATTACATTTGTAACAGTAGTATCTGCTGATGTGGTCTCAAATTGCTAAGCCGTTAAGAGGAGTGGGCTACAAAGGTGTCCCATCACTTGAGGCTGTTTATCAGCTACCTTGAAACCACAAAAAGGCACAAATAACTTTTTTCCCACTTGTAGTTGTCGTCCCTAAAACTTGTGAACACTTTCATGTGTGACATTTTTGGGGAATCCCTTCAACAAATAGTAACTCAAACAGAAGTAAATAGTGCATTTGTTATAGATATTTGTAGTCGCAGATTTAGTGCGCTTACTGAGCATGTAGTGCAGCAGGACCATGTATTTATTATTTGCTTGGTTTTTTGGGGGGTTTTCTTTTGGGTTTTTTCTTCACAACAAAATGAATAAATACATCACCAGTCTTATCCTCTCTATAACTGTATGTATAATAACCTTTTCTCTTTTTCCAGGCATGCTGAGAGCCAACAGAAACATTTGGCTGAGAGGACCCTATCCAAATAAGATGCCAGTCTCTGCTCCACCCTCCCCCCTCTCCCCTCTCCCCTCTCCCCTCTCCCCCCCCCCCCCTCCTGCCCAGCTAAGCTCCCGCTCCAAACCAGACTTTCCCCCTCTGGCCATTCCACCTCTGCCCCGTGTAGATCCAAACCCCCCGCTTGTCCCCAGTATTTTGCTCCTTGCTGCTTCCCCATCTCCCCTTGTCTCCCTTCCTGTCCAAACCCACTGCAGCAGCAGCACAGAAGAAGCTTCTGTGGTTTTCTCCCAGCGCTAAGGATGGAGGAGCACTTCCTGCTTCCTGGGAGAAAAAGGAAACTGATTGTGTGTTGTCATGGATTCTGTACCCAGCTTCCTGTGCAGTGATCGGCCTTGCTTTGCTATCGTTTCTTTTTAACTTTCTACATTCGCCACTAAATTATAACTGTCAAATGCAAAAATTGTGGGAAAAAATAAAATAATAGTGAAAAATTAAGTAGAAAGTCAGTCATGAGAAAAAAAGAAACTCTATTGTATAAAAAAACAGATGGAAACTAACTTCTTCAGACCATTTTAAGTTGGACAGTAATTTTATTACTGTCCTGTAATTTTATTACTGTCCAAAAGTATTTCAAAGTCGACCTGTTTTTATTCTGCACAAATGGTAGTTTTCAACTGAGAAATGTTTATTTGAAGGTGCTAAAAGAGTGTAAAGGAAACATGCCTGCCTTGTAGTGGAGTTGTAGCTTTTGGTAACATTCACTCTAATTGCTCTTCAACATTTTGTGAATGTTGATTTTCTGACACAAGTCATTTTAAATGAATAAGTGTGTTAATATCGTTTTCATCCTACTGTAATCAGAAACTTTATTTGAGGGAAGAAATGTTTATGTACAGATATGTAAAATAAAGAATAAACTTTGTTTCATATACATTGGTTTGTTGTGAAGTATGTTTAATTTGTGTTGCAGCAAGTAAGAATTGAAATGAGCTTCCTCTTTCTGATGAACATAGGAAGTGTAATAAGTGGTCGCAACTGCATGAGACAATACACGGAGCATGACTCAACTCCCCTTTTTTCACTCTTGGTCTCTTACTCTCTCATCTGGGTCGCTTTTAATACTATTCATTTGGACAACCCCTTTAGAGTCATAATTAGGATTTATTTTCCCTTTCACATGAAGATGACAGCTTGTGCACTTAGAATGTATGATGACGGGTCAGTTGTGGTTCAAGGAAAACATATGAATGATGTCTGGTTATTCTTTATGTAAAATATGAAAAATGTATCTCTGAGAAAATCCCCCCACTCTACCGGTGGGTCATCTATGATCATATACTGCATTTAAAGAGTCAGTTTCAGTCTTGAATGTTCTTATGGTGCAGCAAGAAAAAGGCCAGGAAACTCCTGTCAGCGACTCACTGTCCACTACAGTTTCAGAACAACAAGTAAATCACCGTTCCTAAGAAAACTGGGACGGTATGGCGAGGATGAAGTAAGTGTCTGTTGCCACAGCGATAGTGTCACAACCTTGCGAGATGCAGTCGTAAATCCAGGTCGAGTTTAAAGATTGCCATGATCTAAGCAAGGGCAGCAAAGGGGCCTTGCATTACGTTCAATATTCATCAATTTAAGATCCAACATGCTCTATTAATCAGACAAAGGTTTCAAGGAACGTTTTATTATGTTTGTTCAGTGATGACCCCCGTTAAAGTTACAATTTGATTTTTATCATAGCTTTTTTAACTTTTTTATAAAATATTATTCTGTGACATATTTGCGTCTCTTTTTGACATGCAATACTTTATTATGATGGCTACTATCCCATGACATTTTTTAGCATAATATATATACCATGACTTCATTTATGAAAACATACGATACATTTGTATGCCATATTATTATTTGACTATATTTTAATGACTTTTTTATGACTTTCTTTCTCTTCTTTTGAAAACTTGAATTTAGGATTTTTTCTTTATTACAAAATGATGAGTATTTAGGACATTTTTGGCCTACTATTTTTGGTGCACTATTAATTTTTCAAAAAAAAAATTGTCATGTTTTCATGTTTTTTTTATTTAGACATGATATACATGATATACTACTGACTTTAATCGGAGCATTCATTGACTGAACTGCACTGTTCAGGTTGGATATTCAAAAGAAAGATCTTGTTTCTTTTTGAGAAAGCTTCCATATCCTGTGACTTTATGACTTGATGCAGAATCCAGTTGTCCAGTGAAGTACTACAATGTTTTGGAGTTATAGGGTCAAACAACAGTGAAGCTTTTACAAATAAATCAAAACCTTTTAATGGAAAATATAGTTTAAAAAATGCTAAATACTTTGTAAAGATGTATATCCCACTTATACTGATTGACTTGCATTCACTGGGTCACATGACATATAAGCTTCTCAACAGAAATCAGACTTTCCAATAAAGAAACTGCTGAACACTAATCATAGAAAATAGAAAAAGCACTAAATTCAGTAATTTCTGATGGTAGTAGTTGTAGGAGGGGTTTTGATTATTCATGGTTATACTTAATATTTTTGATGTGATTCATAATTGTAGGTAGCCATGGAAAGTTTATTGAATCAAATTAGCTAGTAAAATATCAATTGTAACATGTAGGTATTTATTGTGGAAAAGTTTTTGAACTGATAAGAAGAGAGGCATCTGTGTTAATATTAGCCTATACAGAGATAGAGAGAAGACCCAGTGTTGTCTCCTGCATATTTAAAAAAAAAAACACAAGGCAAAATCACGCACAGTTGCGTAACATTGTTACACATGTAAGACCGTAAATTGTTTGGTGTCTAATATTAAACAGTTACATCACACCTTGGCTTATTTTTTTTTCCCGGAGCTGCTTTCGCTCGGTGAGACATTTGAAACAAACAATGCAACTTCCCGTTTCTGCATGTTCAAATGGCTGCTGAGAGATCAAGGAGGAAATTACATATGACGTTTTAGTTTTCTTTTTGCTGGCTCTCCTGCAGCAGTGTCAGGGAATCCCCCGATGTATATGCATATAAAAACAATCACATCGGGAGTCAGCAACACACTTATACTGATTCACCTGGATTAAGCACAGTTATCTCTCTGACCAGAAATATGGCATTTGGTAATTTCTGTAAGTCAGCGAGCCCGAGAAAAAAACTTAAGATATAAGAACATATTCCAAGTTTCTACTATTTTATCATGCTATTCTGTTGTAAACCGATAAGAGTCATGTGTTGATGATTCTTATTCTCTTGCCACGCAGACTCCGCCAGCTGTTTGATACTGCTGCTGCTGTCTCTGAGCTGGCGCACATCCACGGGGCTCCCGGTGCGCACGGGTCTGAGCGCAGAAAAGTGCGCAGACTGCTCTTTGCTCTTTAAGAAACTCCTCCTGAATATTTCAGAACTCCTCAAAGATGTGAGTACAATTCACGGTACTAGCATATAGTTAATATGTTAACATATATGTTATTATATATAATATGTTATTTTTCTTTCTGTTACACTTTTACACATTGTTTTATTTTACAGAGGGAGTTGTTCCATAGAATTGACACTGATGCATCTGTGGTTATCAGTCAAGCTGAGACAGTACTGGCCTGCGCACCCACTCTGACTCAGGTGAGAATTGTTTAAATATCATTGATATTAATTGTTAATGGTCAAAATCACTATTACAAATAAAAAACAACTTTTTCTTTGGCTTATTCATGCTTTTTGTGTAAGGGAAAAATAAAGATCCCACTGATTTATTTATTTTCTCAAATAAGATAGAGACGTTTTGGACATATTTTTGGAAACACCCTCATAATTTCAGCACAGCTTTCACGGACTTTTACTTTGACCAAGTCATATAACCAAATGTATGGACCAACGATTCTTAAGGGCCATCTGACTTAAAACAAATGTTCATATTTAAAATGATTTTACCCCACAGAACTCAACCTGCATGATGCAAAGAAACTCAACTTTCAGTGAGGTATGTTTAAGTTAACTTTCCTTTTTAAATGCTTTTGGAATTATGGGACATACTTTTCTACACAATTATAATGTAAATCCAGAATCTATTTGACTTAATTGAAGCTTTACAATGTTATTTCTGCCATTTTATACATAAGAATTAGGATATTTTCCAATATAAAGGTTATCCTCCTTACTTTGTTATAAAGCAGACTAAAAATTGATGTGTAATTTTTCCTGTTCGACTCAACAGAGTGAATGTCTGGGGAACATCATGAAGGACTTGGCCTACTATTCTGCTGTTATTCAGTCCTACACCAACTCCGACCTCAGACTGCCTGAAACAGAAGTGCCACTTCTAAATTCAACTTTGGAAATAATACGGAGCCTGAGGAAGGTGTGTTTATCAAGGTTCAAGGTTCTTTATTGTCAAACTAACATAGCTACAGAGTAATTATGTCGTTGAAAATCTTATGTCACAGGCTTCTCCAACAATGCAACATAATAATACAGATAGTAAAAGTAATACAAAAAGAAAAATAGTTCTAAAATAAAGTGAGTATGTGGAATAGTGCAGTACGAGTCTATATAAAAGTTATTGGAATGATATATATTAGATAGTAGATATATAGTACATGCACGTGTAGGAGAAAATCTCCTGGGGAATAACATTTGAAAGTCGCTTATAAAATGTTTTCATTTTTACAGAGCTGCTCCCTGACGCCAAATGGAGAGAACAACATTCCAGAGGTATTTCTGTCTTCCTACTTCTTTTTATTTCCCTATTTAATCTTCATTGCCTACAGTATTGAAGAGGAAAACTGATATTAGATGAATTCTTGTTAACATTTTCCAAAGAGGGGGTGGGGAGGGCATGCGACTTTTGAGTCTCCATGTTGGTAACCTCTTTTCTGTCTATTAGGATGTTGGTGCACCGAAGTGGGAAAACAGCTCATACGAAAACCGACAACAGATGTTTAAAATGATGAAGGGCTTCCAGGTCCGAACCATCACCATCAACAGAGCTCTGGGCTACATTTCCTCAGGAGACCACAGGAAGTAGACGTCATGCAGCCCCTTCTCCATCATCGCCACCATTTACAACTTCCGACCAAGTAGTCCTTTCCACTGCATAACAATATTTATTTAAATTATTTATTTATTTATATTTACTTATTTATTTGATGGCCTGTGATGTTATTTGTTATTTATTATAAGTATTATTTTAAATTAAGTACTGAAAATGGAAGTGAATTTTTGCAAATAAAAACTGATGACACTTAAGTGAACAGAAAGTTGTCAAGTTGTATTTTTATTCAGTCAACATCGCTGTGTTACAATTATTACAAAGTCTTTGGAGAGACATGATAGAAAGAGGTGCAGAAAGGACGGACTGGATTTTTGTTGGTAAGAGGTTTAAGGAAGCAATGGATTGTAAACAATACTCATCATAGTAGACCCTCAAAGATTTCATGATCCAAATGCCATTTCTGCAGCATTTTTTTTTTTCAAATAGTGTGTGAGATGTCTTGAAATAATGCCATTTGCGAAAAGGTGAAAAAAAATAAGAGCTATGACTTATGATAAGATAATTTAACTGAAACGTTTTCAACAGTACAGTTGGTGTTCGAAGTTGTACAGATATGAAATTAGCATTGACAAGATGATACATAAAAATATATACACACATTGCCAGGCTGTAGCTGCACCACATACACTTCAATTAGGCCCTGAATCCAAATGCTGGTGGTTAGTTTGTTTGTTCCCCACAGTGTACACTTTTGTTAAACACAAACAACATGTATATATAACAAGATGTGTGTTCCAATCACAGGTTGGCAGGAATGTATTTATAATTCAAGTTAAACCACAGAAACATAATTAAGGACCTCTTGCAACTCCCTTGAGCTTTTTAAAGGTTCAGAGTTGTGAAATAAAACACCAACAGACATAAACATACAAAACAG